ACATCAGGCTATTTTGGGGGCCAGAAAGTGCTGCTCTTGCTCTTCCCTTCGGCTTTTACCCGACGTTTCAGAACCAGCTTGAAGGATCGGAGGGAAAAAGAGAAAATTTTGGGGAAATAGGGGAAGATTTTGCTTGGGGAGGAGGGGGGCCCAGGGGACTGGGACCCCCCCAGATTTGGGGGTGGCGGTTGTGGCTGGAAAGAAGCTGGTGGCACCCAAAGGGATTTGGGGGTCCCATTGCTGGTACCCAAAGGGATTCGGGGGTCTCATCTCTGCACCCCCCACCCCAAAACACAGTGGGGAAGGTTCCCCATCACCCCAGGGGATTTGGGGGTCCCATTGCTGCCCCCCATCCCAAAACACAGCAGGGGAGGTTCCCCATCACCCCAGGGGATTTGGGGGTCCCATTGCTGCCCCCCATCCCAAAACACAGCAGGGGAGGTTCCCCATCACCCCAGGGGATTTGGGGGTCCCATTGCTGCCCCCCATCCCAAAACACAGCGGGGGAGGTTCCCCATCACCCCGGGGGATTTGGGGGTCCCATTGCTGCCCCCCACCCATCCAGCATGGGGGGGAGCACCCAGGGTGACACCACGGAGCCGCCTGCACCCCGAAGTTACAAATCTGTTTTCTCCCTCCATCCACGTACGTTTTTGGCGTCGCCCCCTTTTTTTGTGTGTGTGTGTGGGGGGGTATCACTCCTCCTTCTTTTTAATCAGGAATCCCCCTTTATTTTGGGGGGGGGGGGATGCTGAAGAGCATCTACGGTGCAATTCCTCCTCCTCCTCCTCCGCTTGTTTTTCCCCACGACCCGAATTCTTTCTCCTCCCTGGTCGACTCATGGAGCCGCTGGTGCTTGACCAAAGTGGACCGGACGCTGAACCTCTTCCCGCAGACGGAACAGGGATACGGTTTCTCACCCGTATGGATCCGTCGATGTCGACTGAGGTTGGAACTTTGGATAAAACGCTTCCCGCAAGCCGGACACTCGTAGGGTCGTTCTCCGGTATGGAGCCGTTGATGGATGACGAGAACGGAACGAGCGCTGAAGCCTTTTCCGCATTCTCCGCATTTATAAGGTTTTTCTCCCGTGTGTAATCCTTGATGTCGTACCAGGCTGGAACTGACCCTAAAGCGTTTTCCGCACTCGGAGCACGTATAGGGAGTCTCGCCGGCGTGGGATCGCCTATGGATAAGGAGATCCGAGCTTTGGACGAAGCTTTTCCCACATTCCGGACATTTATAGGGTTTTTCTCCCGTATGTCGACCTTGATGTCGGATGAGATGGGATCGTTCGTTAAAGGATTTCCCGCAAAACGAGCAGGAAAAGGGTTTTTCTCCGGTGTGCGTCCGACGATGTTGGATGAGATCCGAGCTCTGCCTGAAACTTTTCCCGCATTCGGGACATTTATAAGGTTTTTCTCCCGTGTGGATACGTTGATGACGGAAAAGATTGGAGCGAGCGCTGAAACGTTTCCCACATTCGGAACAAATATAGGGAATATCATCTGGACGGCTCTGGGAATGCGGGATACGATCAGCCTTCAGGTTTTTCCCATAAGGAATTTCCATCCCGTGCAGGCGTTGATGACGGAGGAGGTTGGATCGACGGCTGAAACATTTCTGGCATTCGGGACAACGATGGGGTTTTTCACCCGTATGGGTTTTTTGATGGGAATTCAGGTGGGAATTCCAGGTAAAAGTTTTCCCACATTTTGGACAGGGATAAGGACGTTCTCCGGAGTGGATGCGTTGGTGGCGGAGGAGGTAGGCGCTGTGGTCGAAGCTCTTCCCACATTCGGTACATAAAAATCTCCTCGTATCCCTCGGGATCGGGTTCTCCAGGGTATCGAATCCCTTTCCAGGGAGAAGGGGATGAGCCGAATCCGTTCCCGGGGGATTTTCCTGAGGGTTCACTGTGGTTGTGCTCACCCTGGCGCTGGCCGGTCCTTCGCCTGTCGGGAAATTTGGGATGAGGGCAGGGAGGGATGGGGGATAAAGGGAGGGGGTGAGG